CGGACTATTAAATTTCACGTCGGCCGTAGGAAGCGAACTGCTGCAAACGCCGTCGGGTCGGAAGGGTTAATTACACGCAACAAAAGAATTCACATCAACTTAACAACCAAAAAAACTCAAACGAGAAAAATGAACGATACTCGTGAAAAAACTCTCAATCGATCTCTCTCCAGAAAATTCCTTCCACTCTTCTTCCAAATACCTTTTCCACACCTCTCCGCAAAAGAAACCCAGTGTCCCTAATAGAACCAGCGAGAGACTACTCAGTTTTTCCATCGAGTTTTATTTACCCGATTGCGAACGCCAAAGGACTTTGTACTTTGCGCTCGAAGAGAGTCGAATTTATCAGCGAGCGGAATCAAAGAGAGGAAACATGCTCGTTTTCCCTCGGAGGACGTATCCAGAGGCTTCCATTGTCCGCGCGGGCCGATAAGACAGGAAACGGGAGCAAGAGCGAGCGCTCGGTTGCGAAACGTGAGAATCTTCCTGCAGACTGCGAGCGACAACGGCGTGTCACGTCTCAGGATAGAGTTCGCGGTCTCGTGAGAAACAACAGGATTGTCGCTTTTCGTCAACCGAACTCTCTCTCTCTCTCTCTCTCTCTTTCTCTCTCTCTCTCTCTCTCTCTCTCTCTCTCTCTCTCTCTCTCTCTCTCTCTCTCTCTCACTTGGTTAAACCGGGGAGCCATCGGCAAAAACCGCTGTGGCGACGGGGCTTTGTTTCGACGAGAGTGAAATCCGTGCGAAGTAGAAGACGTTCACGAGGACGACGAACTGACGACGAGAAAAGTTACTCTCGATGCGGTATCTCTTGAGGAGTTTAATAAGCTTCGATCTACCAGGTGTTCTCGAATGAAAGGACACTTTCTTTTTCAGACGTACTTTGTGAAATTGGTCGTTTGTTAAAGGAGATACCTAATTAAAGCTGGAATGCTGGGGGAAGAGTAAAAAAATTTGCAGAAAGTTTTTAACTGAAATAACTCGGGTAGACCGTTGATAATCTGTTTTTAGGTTAGAAAGTAGGTGTAGTTAATGGTTGTAAATAAAGGAATTGGGTTTATTTCTTTTTTCATTGAAATTGGATTAAACCTTATTAAAATTTGAGATTGATGTCTTGGATTTGGTAAGGTTAATGTAATGGGTTAGTTATTCGCAAAGATAGAAAGTAACGAGAATTATCTTTTTTATATGAATGATGTATTTTATAAAAGTAGCTTTTTTATAAGCCATACGGGAAACTTTGAAACACTATTTGAGTCACCGAATATATTCGATTTCCAACAAAAACTGAAATTCTAATTTTTTCGATTAATATAAATGTTTTTTATCTCTGACTGAATTAAATCTATCAAAAAGTTAACCACAGCCTTATTTTCTAATACAAAATCAAATTCTGATTTTTCTTCGGACATTTTTCAATGAATATAAATTTTTTTAGTACTCAGAATTGTATTATTTATTCCTACCTAAATTAAATCCATAAAAATTAAGTCAGCCTCATTTCCCAATAAAAAATCAAATTCTGACTTTTATTAGACATTTTTCAAGGAATACAAATTTTTCTAGCAGCCAGAATTACATTTTTCATCTCTACCGAAATTAAATCCATAAAAATTTAGTCAGCCTCATTTCCAAATAAAAAATCAAATTCTAACTTTTATTAAAGACATTTTTCAAGGAATACAAATTTTTCTAGCAGCCAGAATTACATTTTTCATCTCTACCGAAATTAAATCCATAAAAATTTAGTCAGCCTCATTTCCAAATAAAAAATCAAATTCTGACTTTTATTAGACATTTTTCAACGAATACAAATTTTTCTAGCAGCCAGAATTACATTTTTCATCTCTACCGAAATTAAATCCATAAAAATTTAGTCAGCCTCATTTCCAAATAAAAAATCAAATTCTGACTTTCTTGTTAAAAAAAACATTTTTCAACGAATACAAATTTTTCTAGCAGCCAGAATTACATTTTTCATCTCTACCGAAATTAAATCCATAAAAATTTGTGTCAGCCTCATTTCCAAATAAAAAATCAAATTCTGACTTTCTTTTTAAAAAAAACATTTTTCAACGAATACAAATTTTTCTAGCAGCCAGAATTACATTTTTCATCTCTACCGAAATTAAATCCATAAAAATTTGTGTCAGCCTCATTTCCAAATAAAAAATCAAATTCTGACTTTCTTTTTAAAAAAAACATTTTTCAACGAATACAAATTTTTCTAGCAGCCAGAATTACATTTTTCATCTCTACCGAAATTAAATCCATAAAAATTTGTGTCAGCCTCATTTCCAAATAAAAAATCAAATTCTGACTTTCTTTTTAAAAAAAACATTTTTCAACGAATACAAATTTTTCTAGCAGCCAGAATTACATTTTTCATCTCTACCGAAATTAAATCCATAAAAATTTGTGTCAGCCTCATTTCCAAATAAAAAATCAAATTCTGACTTTCTTTTTAAAAAAAACATTTTTCAACGAATACAAATTTTTCTAGCAGCCAGAATTACATTTTTCATCTCTACCGAAATTAAATCCATAAAAATTTAGTCAGCCTCATTTCCAAATAAAAAATCAAATTCTGACTTTCTTTTTAAAAAAAACATTTTTCAACGAATACAAATTTTTCTAGCAGCCAGAATTACATTTTTCATCTCTACCGAAATTAAATCCATAAAAATTTAGTCAGCCTCATTTCCAAATAAAAAATCAAATTCTGACTTTCTTTTTAAAAAAAACATTTTTCAACGAATACAAATTTTTCTAGCAGCCAGAATTACATTTTTCATCTCTTAGTCAGCCCCATTTCCTAATAAAAAATCAAATTCTAATTTAAAAAAAAAAAAAAACATTTTTCTAGCAGTCAGAATGACATTTTTTACCCCTACCTAAATTAAATCTATTATGAAATTACTCACAGCCTCATTTCCCAATAAAAATCAAATTCTAATATTCTTTCCAAAAAGACATTTTTCAACGAGTACAAATCTGGTTAATTCCCAAAATTACATTTTTTATCCCCACCTAAATTAAATCCATTACCACAACTTAACCACAGCGTTCTCTTCCAAAGGCAGAAAAACCGCGCCGTGAAGAATTCCAAAGGTATGATACAGCGTTTTTTCGTCTCGGGTCACCTTGTATAAAGAAAAAGTAGTCCAAATCGTCTAGGCATTAGCAGGTGAACCGTTCACCGAGAGGGGAATCCAATTGGCGGAGGCAATTATTCGATTTTCGATCGGTGCCGCTCGCACCCGGTGAAGCTGATCTTAATTGATAGGGCAGTGAATTTCATTCCTCGGTTCGTTCCTCCTTTCAACCTTCTCCCTCGTTTTTTTAAACGAACAATAAAATAGACAGTCGCTGGTTACGCGGTTGGAAACCACCGAAAACCCGGAAATTATCGCGCCTAGTAGTTACATTTGCATAAATACATGTAGAATATGCAAAGAAAGAGAAGAGAAATTTTCCATATTCCTCGAGTGCATTCCTCCGTAACTGTAATTAACACTATTTGTTGCGTTATCGTTTCGAATTCGCCGATTCCTAAAACTCATTTTCTTCCTATCCAAGATTCACTTCTACTTCGTGTCCGTTCTCTCTTTTTCCTTCTCTTGCTTCTCTCTCGTTAAGAGCGTATTAATTTCACGTCGGGAAACCTCCGGGCGAATTACCGAGGAACAGAGGGGAAGAAGCTCATTACGAGGGCCACGCGTTTATTTAACCGATGTGTGTGTAGAGCGGGAGCGTTTCATCAGTGAAATAGTGGCTCAAAAGTGAAGGAAGCATTTCTCTTTACGGCATTATTGTATAGCAGGTCATTGGGCCATAGAGAATCTAAAGACGGCCGAGCGGATTCAGCGCGAGGAAATCAAATGTGCGTGAAATTATCAGATCTCCTTCTTTCTTTCTCTGTCTGTCGCTCTTTCACCAAATCGAATTTAATCTTGATTACGATCGATCGCATCCTACGGTTCCCCCCTTTTTCCTTCCTCTTTATTGCACAATAAATGGTTTATTATGAAATAGGAAGTGATTCTATAAATACGTGTTGAAGAATCGCTTCGAATTCGTGAATCAATTACTTGCAACGAACGTATCGAGGAACGTTACTATGAATTAAGTTCACTGGGACGAAGAACTAACCCTTTCGCTGTGTTTTGCTTTGTTTTTAATTGTCTAGAATTGAGAAGAATACAGAGCTAGGTAAAATTTAGAGAAAAAATGTTTGAATACTAGTTTAACCCTATTGCGTTCTTCGTTTTGACTGTACACTTAAGACTTTTGGGTGAAAAAGGACCTAAGACCTTATGTGAAACAATTTTTCTTTCCAACGCGACATATGAACCTAGACGATAAACGTTTAAAATAATGTTAAGGAACGTAAACTTGATAACAGCAAAAATGACTAAAAATATGAAAAGGCGGTGGGTCAAGAAAGACCCGAAGACTGCTCTAGGGTTAAATAATAGATGGTACATGGTTCAGATAAGATGCTATTTTAAATAGCAAGCGAAATTTTGGCAAATAAAATAAGTTGAGCAAGAAAGTGATATTATAGCACAAGAAATGATAACATTTTACAAAGTAAATTTATTTCTGGTTCAAGCACGACTATTCGCCTGTAACAAAGTGAGCATCTACATTGCTCCAAATTTTCATCGCTTAGGCTACTCGCTCAATTACGAATAAACTGAAAATATTTCAAAATAAAGTCCGACGATTTTCAATATTTTTCAAATACAAAACCTAACCTCAAAAAGTTACCGCAATAAATTTCTATAGCAAAATAAAATAGACTGAAATAAACTATTAGACTAAATAAATGAATAAATAAACAGACTATTTATTGTTCGAAATAATATTTCACTCAGCTCCGAAGGAACATCGTCGAAAGTCGCAACGAAGGACAATAAATTCCAAAGGTTCGTGGATACAGTCGAAGGTCACACAGCGAAAGGGTTAAGGAGAAATAAAAGGATGAACATGTCTGACCGTTCTCCGTTCGTTCCTGTTTATCAGAGGATGTGGTCGACCTGGAGGATCGTTTCAGGGTCGCCTCGAAGTCGCCCACGACGTCGCTGAGGTCGAGGGCCGTTGATTGTTGCGTGTACCCTTGCTTGTCGTAGCTCGACCTCGGCAAAGTAGTCACGCCATTCGTCGTCGCAGGTTCTTGTAGTATTTTAGGCAGTTCGGCCTCTATTCCGACCAGGGCTGGACTCACCTACGATTAAAAATACCAAGGAATTTACGAGGCAACCTTCGTCGACAGCTGTCGATCTTCCATTCTGTTTATTATCTTTGTCTCTCTCTCTTCTCTATTTATTTTCTACCGTGAGTATCGTTGAATTTTCGCAATTCGATAATCATACGAAAGTTAGACGAGGTATACAGGGTGTTTCGTAAATGCATGTGAATACTTCATGTGGTAAATCTACACAATGAAATCAGTAAAAAATGTCACATGGGCGTGTGTCCTATATACAGGTAATCCCCGTATAACACGGTTGTTAGGTTCCTAAAAAATGGCGCGTTATGCGAATCCGTGTTATACGAAACAAAGAATTAGCACGAAAAAAAAATACTATTATATTTTTATAATTAAGAGAAATATCTTTATTAAAGGAATTTTCACCAAAAGTGGAACGTATTAGTGTGTATTAAATAAAAATTCACAAAAATGGAGAACATAATTACCGTTTCTTTAAAGAAGGTTGAATAATACTCACACGAAAATTTTTAATCTAAAACACAAAGTTTTAAAATGTGTGTACTTAATCCTCCACGAACAAAATGAATTTAAAATTCTAACGAAAATCTCTCGAATGAAAAATTTCAAGTGAGATACCTTTTCCTCTTAAAAGCTTTTATTACGTTCCGTGTTATTCGGGGATTTCCCTAATTTCAAATGAAACATTTTTTGCTTTCAAAAGCTCTTATTGTGTTCCATATCGTTCCATATTATTTCCCTAATTCTCGAACCGTGTTAGAGCGAAACATATACCTTAGTTTTCGAGTTATACAGTATGTATACAAAGTTGTAGGGTACAGAGGGCGCCATATTGTTCTGGTATTTTTTTGACTTTACAGCGATCTTGAAAAGCCCTGTAAATGTCGTATATTTTCGACGTAGAAAGTTTCATCTGCTTCATATCGATGGACTTTATTTATCAACATTAGATAAGGTCACGACGTACTAAGGCGTGCAGTAACGTGTGTTGGGGCAAGAGGTGGGGCACTTGGAACATTTTTTTAAATCGTCCATAACTCGAGAACTAAGGAATATCGGACACATTTTTTACCTATTTCAGTGTGTAGATATAACACCTGAAGTATTGACACGCATTTATGAAACACGCTGTATATTTAACACTAGGTTCACGGGACGCGTTATTTTAACGCATTTCGAATTTCACGAGGAAAATTACAGAAATCGTTTTATACTTATGTAGGAACCTAGTTTACATTTCCCTCCTATCCCTTGTGCTTATTATAAATTTTATATGAATATATTGTTTATGTTATCGTTCATTTATAAGTTAATAGTGTATAATATGTTATTTTTAAATAAAATAAACTGTTTTCTAAAGAAAATGTGCGGTTTCGTTCACGCGTCAATAGAGATAGGTAAATAAGAAATGTCCGCAAACCTAGTGTTAAGGTAGAAAAGAACGACAAATTTTAGTTATTGATTTCAATTGAAGGAAATACAAAAAAGAGGTATAAAGAGGATATTCTTTATTAACGTTCGAACTTGAAACGCTTGAAGATTTAAGTTTAACCCAGAGGGTTTAATTATGAAACGAAGGGATGAACTTTACCAGGCCAAGTAGAACTTCCATCGATTGACATTGCCTCCGACGTTCCCTTTTCTTGCGTCTCTCGATGCTAGACCTGTCGCCGGCACTTCCTGCTGCAACCGCCTCGCAGTATCGCACGAAGTCCAGGTCGATGTGGTAGCCGTAAGGGCAGCAAAGGCATTTCGTGCCTGTGGAACCGGAAACGTAGGCCTGCGTCCCCACTGGTGTACCGGGAATTCGAGAAAATGAGGAGAAATTAACTTCACGCAAATTCCAGATTTTCGAAATAAACCAATGATAAAAATCGTACAAAGTTAACTTTGTATGTTGTGTGATTTTTTGTAACATTCGAAGAATTGCTGTTTTATTCTTTTTAGTTGTAGTACATAATACAGGGTGTTTTAAAAAAGTGTTAACATTTATGTGGGGCGGTTTAGCGCAGCGGTAGCTAGAGAAAAGCTACCGAAAGACGACGTGTGAGAGCGGTGTACAGTAAATGCTCCACAAGTGTCAGTCCGCAAGGAAGCTAAACCTGACACTTGTAGAGTCAGGGTCTACGTTTTCGAGCCTCGCGCCCGCCCTTGTAGTTTGCCGAACGTAGACAAGGACAGCGAATAAAAGATAAGGACGAAACGTGAGTCGAGGCAACCGAGCGATTTAAATACCAACTTTTTTAATTTTGCGTTTTTTTATCCCGAAATTTTTCTTAACATATTGATGAGATTTTTCTGATGAAAATGACATCAAACACGACATAATTTGAACAACATTTACTTATTAACACGTTCACTGTCGCGCCAGACAGTTCAAGCATAAACACTGTTTCTGAAACAGCTCTACATATTAAAAACACCAGACCCCCGATTCATCGTAAAGAAGACCATAAAAAATGCTAAAAAAGAAAGAAACAATCAGATACAATAAACCACTAAAAAATCTAAGAAAAGCAGAAAGAAACAGACCGCTGAAAAGGAAGCCAATAAATTACAAAGAAGCCTGGTAGTAAGGCGAACGGTAGCATTGTAAAATCCGATTCCAACTGAATAAACTGAAGAAAACAACAACTCCGATGATAATGATAAATTCGAAAATATCAAGTAATCCAAGATACAATCAGAAAGAAAGAGTTATTAAAAAGTTCGTCCAAGAAACAGAGCATCAAATCTTAATCATCTCTCTCTCTCTCCTCCACCGAACGATTCTAATTAAACCTGCACCCCAATTACAAACAGCGTACAGCGTATACTCTGTACTCTACACACACACACACTCACTCATATACACATACTCCTTATCGATCGATCTTTCAAGAAGGATGCACAGAGCAAACACGAGGGGGTTCGATTTAGACGAAACACAACCCCGAGGCACTCGAAAAGAAGCGATGCCTTGCTCTCTGGTCGTCTTTCTTCGATCGAGCAAGCATATAGAAAGGATCTATCTTTGGAGGAGGGTAGAGGATCGATTGTGCTTCATCCCGAGTGGCTGATTGTGTTCGAGGGTAACGACCGACGCGCACCCGTAAACCGAAATATGTTGTAACCATTGGCGACCATCCAGAGGCACGGTAATAATAATCTGGCAAAGTTCGTTAGCCGGGATAGCGTGGGGAACCCATTTACTTGTCATACCGTTCATACTATCGCGACCTACGTGGCAATGACTTAATGAGCTCGACGTTACGCGAGATCGAAACGACTCTGCATCGATCGTTTTATCTCATCCGTTTGTCAACTGACCAGGGGAATTTCGGGTAATCCGAAATTTTCGATTTCTTTTTTTTTGAAACTTTGCAGGTTTGTAGGGGACTTCAAAAATTTTTCTTTAAACTTTGCAGGTTTGCAGAGGACCTCGATTTTTTTTTTTAAACTTTGCAGGCTTGTAGAGGACCTCGATTTTTTTTTTTAAACTTTGCAGGTTTGCAGAGGACCTCAATTTTTTTTTTTAACTTTGCAGGTTTGTAGAGGACCTCAATTTTTTTTTTTTAACTTTGCAGGTTTGCAGAGGACCTCAATTTTTTTGTTTAAACTTTGCAGGTTTGCAGAGGACCTCAATTTTTTCT